CATACTTCTTAGCCAGCCCCTCACAATACTTTCTCTGGTGCAACCTCAACACTCCCTTGTCAAGGTCCCTCTCCACATGCATCCCAAGGTAGTACTTCACATCTCCCATCTTGGAGCACTTGAACTGCATTTCCAGCATCTCCTCCACACGTTCAATCATTGCAGACGACTCAGAGAAGAGCAGGATGTCGTCCACGTACACCAGGAGCATGAGGAACTGCTCCTTCTCTTGCAGCAGGAACAGGCTGTGATCACACTCGCTCTTCTTGAACCCCCCGGCCAGCAGTGTCTCCTCCAGCTTGTGGTACCATGTGCGAGGAGCCTGCTTCAGGCCATAGATGGCCTTCTTGAGCCTGCACACTCTGCCGCTCCCATCATCCAACCCCTCAGGCTGCAGCATGTACAGCTCCTCCAGAATGATTCCATTGAGGAATGCAGTGATTATGTCCATCTGCTTGATCTTCCAGCCACGGTTTGCAGCCATTGCCAACATCGTCCTCAGTGTAGTGCCTTTCCCTACAGGAGCAAAGATATCATCAAAATCCTTCCCCTTTGTCTGTTGGAACCCCTTAGCCACAAGCCTTGACTTGTAGCGGGTCAGCTCCCCATCGGGTCCGTACTTATGCCTGAAGATCAGCTTAGAAGAAATGGCCTTCTTCCCAGGTGGCAGCTCACACAGCTCCCACGTCTCATTCTCCAGCAGAGAGTCATACTCCTCCTTCACACTCTGCTTCCACTTCTCAGCGTCGGGCCCGCTCAATGCCTCGGCTAACGTCTTGGGCTCAGGGACGGCTGCCCAGTAGCAGTGTGCTATCTCATCCTCATCACACTGCTTAGCCACACTCCCAGCCCGTACCACCTTTGGCTTGCCAAAGCTCGGATAGGTCAGCCGGTTAGGAGGGCGCACTTCCCTCCGGGGACGGTCAGCCGGACGCGCGGCACCTTGTGGAGCACCTTGCTGCTGCTGCTGTGGCTGCTGCTGCTGCTGCGGCTGCTGCTGCTGCTGCTGCTGCTGCTCCTCCACCTCAGGTTCTCCCCCATCCTCAGTCACCCCAGAAATCTCCTCCTCTGAGACAGTGACCTGCACTTGCCTCGAAGGCCGCTGCACCCCATCAGCCTCAATGATCAGCGGTGTAGTGGGAAGCTTCTGCTGCTGCTGCTTCCACTCCTTGTAGTACAAGGACTCAAGGAACTTCACATCCCTCGACACAGTCAGCTGCTGGCTGGTCAAGTCCCAAATCAGCCAGCCCTTGTGATCCTTTGCAAGCCCCAAGTGCACACCCCATCTCCCAGAAGCTTCCAGTTTTCCCCTCTTCTCCTTAGGCACATGAAACACCACCATACAGCCAAAGGCTCTCAGCATGTTGACTGCTGGTGCACTCCCATACCACTTGGTGTAGGGAACCCATTGCTTGTCCCCCACAGTTGCCAGCACCCTGTTCTTCACAAGGGCGACCTGCCGCAGTGCAGTCACCCAAAACGGATCCGGCAACCCTGCACGCCCAAGGAGAGTGCGAGCACCTTCCTGCAGGGTCCGGTTGAACCGCTCAGCCACGCCATCCTGCTGAGGGTTGTAGGGCACCGTAAGCTGATGCTGGATCCCCTTCTTCTTCAGCACCGCCTCAAAATCAGCGCCAATGAATTCTCCTCCATTGTCGGTGCGGATCACCTTCACCTTATGTCCGCTCTCCCTTTGTGCTCTCGGCATCCACTCCTTAAGAACAGCCGTGTTAGAGACTAAGGACGGAGTGAATGAAGATTAGGTGCCAAAAATTCTCAAAATCGTTGGCTTAGAATTCTGGACAGAAAACGTCGACTTCACAAGAAACGTTGTCGACGAAAAGCGCACTGTTAGAATCGTCTTAAACTCGAGTATGTTGTAGCCTGTAACCAGGGCTATCTTTCCCAATTTGAATCGTATCAAATGGTGGAGTAAATCTCGAGTTATGATTTTCGGCGCACTAGGGGGTATGCTGCCACATGCTTAACTCAATCACAATGGTTCTCACAAGTTCCACAAAGTTACACACAAGAGAGTTAGGGTAGCACTAAACCAGGTAGGAGGGAAGAGGAGGACGAGAGGGAAGGTCCCAAGAGATTCCCCAACCAAGGAAACCCCATGCCACACAATTCCCTTCCCCATAGGCAACCCCACTTTCACATTTGTCACTTTCCCATGCCATCCACCTCAACCCACTTGGCCACACTTGCCAACCTGGTTTGGCTTCACCCAACCACATGGCAGCATTCTACAGTGATGGGTTCGAATTCCCAACCCCCAAAAGTCTGTACCCCATATTGAGTCAACCCCACAACTTCCCATAGTCGCCACAACCGAAGTACAGAAAGCATACGAACTCCAACGTTCGTAACTTTCTTGATATTGCTCCGATCGCGACGATTCTTGGCTCGTCGGAAAGATCTTGAGCAGTGGAGTCACTTCAGATATCTGCTCAAGCCAAATAACATTCACACACACACTCAGAAAATCCAAATTGCATCAAACACAAATTCTTGCGCACGCTCATTTCACACATGCAACGCACGAACACATGATGGGAGGCAGACAGACGTGAATGAAAATGATAGCATCACATAACAAGCCGCTGCCACCTCCCCCTTAGTCTTGAGAGGGTACACCCACACCGCACGCGTGTGGTCGTCCACAATTGTCAAGAAGTAGCGGCTGCCCGAGAGAGAAAGGGCCCTCGTGGGGCCCACCACATCCATGTGCACTAGTGCAAGTGGTGCCTTTGCTGGTCCTATGCTGCTGCTGAAGGGAAACTTCGTGAATTTGGTCTCAAGGCAGGTAGGGCAGCTCCCAATCTCCTTTGCTCCCCCCTTCACCTCCAGCCCCTTCAAGCACCCATCCTTTACCAACTTCTGCAGCATAGGAATGTTCACATGGCACAGCCTCTCATGCCACGTCTCCCAATCAGCCTCACCACTCCCAGATGAAGCCTTTGCCCATGCAGCTGTCGCATCCACACCAGCAAGCACCTCACCATGTGGCTGTTGTGGCTGCTGCACCTTCTTGATTGCATCCAGGGCCCCATCAGTTGGTGCAGTCTCCTCTCCTCCCGCTGTTGCTTTAGCCGCTGGCGCTGCCTTTGCCGTTGCTGGTGGTTTCCCCTTCCAAGGGATGATGGGCAGCTGCCACAAGTCCTTGATGCAGCTGCTCTTCTCCTCCAAATTCCACAGCAGCAACTTCCCAAGCTTTGCACGGCAGCTGGTTGGGCCGAACGTAACTTTGGCCTTGCTTTTCTGCAGCCGGCGCACAGAGAGGAGGTTAGCGGATAAACCTTCAACCAACAGCACATTTCCCAGCCCCACAAGCCTCCCATTAGTTCCTATAACCTTGGCATTCCCAACACCAATCACAGGGAGCAAGGCACCTGAAGCGGCAGCCACAAACTTTATCTTCCCAGGAGGTTTTACCTCATCAAGCAAATCTGCCCGTGGGGTCATATGACTCGTGCAACCTGAATCGATCACCTAGTGAGTGAGGGGGTGCATCACAACCTTCCCAACTGAACCCACATCACCCCCACTCCCTTGCACGTCCTCAACCATGAGGAACATCCCAGGGTCGGCTTTACCTTGTGCACCATCACCTTGTGCACCTGAACCTTGCACAGCACCACCTCGTGCACGTTCACCACTTGGCGGCTTCATGCCTGGAGGCGCCCATCCTTCAGGCCGGCTGAAACACTTAAACCATGGGTGTCCAGCCTTCTTGCAGTACCAGCACGCACCCTCCATTCGGGTACTCCCCCTGCCACCAGAGCTCCTATGCCCCTCATTGTAGTTACCTCGGCCTCTCCCTCTGCCAAAGCCTCTCCCACGGCCTCGGCCTCTCCCTCCCCCTCTCCCTCTGCTGCCTCCTGCAGCTCCATACCCCTCAGCAGTTTTGTTGGCAGCACCACCTCCAGTGTGGCGCCTGCGGAAGTCCTCCTGCAGGATCTGCTGCCGTAGCCACTCAGGCGTCCATTTGTCCTGCTGAACGTTGAGGGTGGGGATGAGGTTGTCCCACGAGTTGTCGAGCACCGAGATGATCTTGGTGCATTGTTGCATCTGCGACACTTCGCTGCCCGCCGCTGCCATCCTCGCATAGGTGTCCTTGATCTTGTCAAGGACCGGCTTCACATCATCTCCCGGCCGCATGGGGAGGGCAGCCAACTCCTTCTCCAATACGATCACCATCGGCAGCGTGTTGGGTTGAACCACGTCGCGTAGCAGCTTCCACGCCTTCGGTCCCGAGTCATCGAGCTCCACCAAATCCTTGATATGCTGGAACATGTCGTTGTTGACCGACTGTAGAATCAAGTCGTACAGCACCGCGCTCCGCTCAATCCACCGATCGCGGGCATCTCCTTCCTCCGGCATCTTCTCTTCTCCCATAGCCAATTTTAGCAGCTTGTAGCGCTTGAAGGCGCTCCTCATCCGCCCACTCCATTCCTCATAGTTGGAGCCATCCAATGCCTCAATCTTGGATGGTGGCGGCTCACTCTTCTTCTCAGCTGCTTCTCCACTCCCTTGACTCATCTCCTCTTCTCCCAATCAGAGGTTTCAGCTCCCCCTTTTGCTGGTCAATATGTAGATCCACACAATCTTCACAATTGTCGGCGCCAACGAAATTTCGGCAGAGTTTCCCCTTAGCGGAAGTCACATTCAACCTCCAGAACTCCACTTAGGCACGCCCACAGGCCATGGTGGGTCTAGGAGGGTCTTCACACTTCAGTAGACTCTCCACAAAGTCCTTAATCAGCTCTGATACCACTTGTTATAGAGACTAAGGATCGAGTCTGTGAAGATTAGGAGCCTAAATTTCTCAAAATCGTTGGCTTGAAATTCTGGACAGAAACCGCGACTTCCCAAGAAACGTTGTCGACGAAACGTGCACTGTTATAATCATCTCAAACTCGAGTATGTTATAGCCCTTGTTTGTGGCTATCATTCCCAATTTGAATCGTATCGAACGGTGGAGTAAATCTCGAGTTATGCTTCTCGGCGCACCAGGGGGTATGCTGCCACATAGAAATTAAATTCACTCACAACAGTTTCACAAGTTCACAAGAGTTGCACACAAGAGAGTTAGAGTAGCACTAAACCAGGTAGGAGGAAAGAGGAGGACGAGAGGGAAGGTCCCAAGGAGTCCCCAACCAAAGAAAACTCCATGCCACACAATTCCTTTCCCCATAGGCAACCCAACTTTGACCTTTGTCACTATCCCAACCTCCACAATCCACCTCAACCCAACTTGGCCACACTTGCCAACCTGGTTTGGTTTCTCCCAACCAATTGGCAGCAACTACAGTAGTAGTGACGAGTTTCCCAACCCCCAAAAGTCTGTACCCCATATTGAGTCAACCCCACAACTCTCCATGGTCACCACAACCAAATATCAAAAGCATACGAACTCCAACGTTCGTAACTTTCTTGTTCGTGCTCCGATTGAAGTGATTCTTGGTTCGTCGGAAAGCTCTTGAGCAGTGGAGTCACATCAGATATCTGCTCAAGCCAAATAACATTCACACACACTCAGAAAATCCAAACCACAGAAAACACAAATTCTTGCGCACGCTCATTTCACACATGCAACGCACGAACACATGATGGGAGGCAGACAGACGTGAATGCAAATGATAGCATCACATAACACTCATAGGCTCTTATTCCCTCTCACCCACTCTCATACGCTCTCATTCCCTCTCACCCACTCTCAAACGCTCTCATTCCCTCTCACCCACTCTCATACGCTCTCATTCCTTCTCACCCACACTCATACGCTCTCATTCCCTCTCACCCACTCTCATACGCTCTCATTACCTCTCACCCACTCTCATACGCTCTCATTCCCTCCCACCCACACTCATACGCTCTCATTCCCTCTCACCCACTCTCATACCCTCTCATTCCCTCTCACCCACTCTCATACGCTCTCATTCCCTCTCACCCACTCTGAAACGCTCTCATTCCCTCTCACCCACTCTCTCACGCTCTCATTCCTTCTCACCCACTCTCATACGCTCTCATTCCCTCTCACCCACTCTCATACGCTCTCATTCCCTCTCACCCACTCTCATACGCTCTCATTCCCTCCCACCCACACTCAGACGCTCTCATTCCCTCTCACCCACTCTCTCACGCTCTCATTCCCTCTCACCCACTCTCATACGCTCTCATTCCCTCTCACCCACTCTCATACTCTCTCATTCCCTCTCACCCACACTCATACGCTCTCATTCCCTCTCACCCACTCTCATACTCTCTCATTCCCTCTCACCCACTCTCATACGCTCTCATTCCCTCTCACCCACTCTCATACGCTCTCATTCCTTCTCACCCACTCTCATACGCTCGCATTCCCTCTCACCCACTCTCATACGCTCTCATTTCCTCTCACCCACTCTCTCACGCTCTCATTCCCTCTCACCCACTCTCATACGCTCTCCGTCCCTCTCACCCACTCTCATACCCTCTCATTCCCTCTCACCCACACTCATACGCTCTCGTTCCCTCTCACCCACACTCATACGCTCTCATTCCCTCTCACCCACTCTCAAACGCTCTCATTCCCTCTCACCCACTCTCATACGCTCTCATTCCCTCTCACCCACTCTCATACGCTCTCATTCCTTCTCACCCACTCTCATACGCTCTCATTCCCTCTCACCCACTCTCATACGCTCTCATTACCTCTCACCCACTCTCATACGCTCTCATTCCCTCCCACCCACACTCATACGCTCTCATTCCCTCTCACCCACTCTCATACCCTCTCATTCCCTCTCACCCACTCTCATACGCTCTCATTCCCTCTCACCCACTCTGAAACGCTCTCATTCCCTCTCACCCACTCTCTCACGCTCTCATTCCTTCTCACCCACTCTCATACGCTCTCATTCCCTCTCACCCACTCTCATACTCTCTCATTCCCTCTCACCCACTCTCATACGCTCTCATTCCCTCTCACCCACTCTCATACGCTCTCATTCCTTCTCACCCACTCTCATACGCTCGCATTCCCTCTCACCCACTCTCATACGCTCTCATTTCCTCTCACCCACTCTCTCACGCTCTCATTCCCTCTCACCCACTCTCATACGCTATCCGTCCCTCTCACCCACTCTCATACCCTCTCATTCCCTCTCACCCACACTCATACGCTCTCGTTCCCTCTCACCCACACTCATACGCTCTCATTCCCTCTCACCCACTCTCTCATGCTCTCATTCCCTCTCACCCACTCTCTCACGCTCTCATTCCCTCTCACCCACTGTCATACACTCTCATTCCCTCTCACCCACTCTCTTACGCTCTCATTCCCTCTCATCCACTCTCATACGCTCTCATTCCGTCCCACCCACACTCATACACTCTCATTCCCTCTCACCCACTCTCATACCCTCTCATTCCCTCTCACCCACTCTCTTACGCTCTTATTCCCTCTCACTCACTCTCATGCACTCTCATTCCCTCTGACCCACTCTCATACGCTCTCATTCCCTCTCACCCACACTCATACGCTCTCATTCCCTCTCGCCCACTCTCATACGCTCTCATTCCCTCTCACCCACTCTCATACGCTCTCATTCCCTCTCACCCACTCTCATACGCTCTCATTCCCTCTCACCCACTTCATAGGCTCTTAATCCCTGTCACCCACTCTCATATGCTCTCATTCCCTCTAACCCACTCTCATACGCTCTCATTCCCTCTCACCCACTCTCAAACGCTCTCATTCCCTCTCACCCACTCTCATACGCTCTCATTCCCTCTCACCCACTCTCATACGCTTTCATTCCCTCTCACCCACTCTCATACCCTCTCATTCCCTCTCACCCACTCTCATACGCTCTCATTCCCTCTCACCCACTCTCATACGCTCTCAATCCATCTCACCCACTCTCTCACGCTCTCATTCCTTCTCACCCACTCTCATACGCTCTCATGCCCTCTCACCCACTCTCATACGCTCTCATTCCCTCTCACCCACTCTCATACGCTCTCATTCCCTCTCAACCACTCTCATACGCTCTCATTCCGTCTCACCCACTCTCATACTCTCTCATTCCCTCTCACCCACTCTCATACGCTCTCATTCCCTCTCACCCACTCTCATACGCTCTCATTCCCTCTCGCCCACTCTCATACGCTCTCATTCCCTCTCACCCACTCTCATACGCTCTCATTCCCTCTCACCCACTCTCATACGCTCTCATTCCCTCTCACCCACTCTCATAGGCTCTTAATCCCTGTCACCCACCCTCATATGCTCTCATTCCCTCTAACCCACTCTCATAGGCTCTCATTCCCTCTCACCCACTCTCAAACGCTCTCATTCCCTCTCACCCACTCTCATACGCTCTCATTCCCTCTCACCCACTCTCATACGCTCTCATTCCCTCTCACCCACTCTCATACGCTCTCATTCCCTCTCACCCACTCTCATACGCTCTCATTCCCTCTCACCCACTCTCATACCCTCTCATTCCCTCTCACCCACTCTCATACGCTCTTATTCCCTCTCACCCACTCTCATACGCTCTCATTCCATCTCACCCACTCTCTCACGCTCTCATTCCCTCTCACCCACTCTCATACGCTCTCATGCCCTCTCATCCACTCTCATACGCTCTCATTCCCTCTCACCCACTCTCATACGCTCTCATTCCCTCTCACCCACTCTCATACGCTCTCATTCCATCTCACCCACTCTCTCACGCTCTCATTCCTTCTCACCCACTCTCATACGCTCTCATGCCCTCTCACCCACTCTCATACGCTCTCATTCCCTCTCACCCACTCTCTCACGCTCTCATTCCCTCTCACCCACTCTCATACGCTCTCATTCCCTCTAACCCACTCTCATACGCTCTCATTCCCTCTCACCCACTCTCATACGCTCTCATTCCCTCTCAACCACTCTCATACGCTCTCATTCCCTCTCACCCACTCTCATACTCTCTCATTCCCTCTCACCCACACTCATACGCTCTCATTTCCTCTCACCCACTCGCATACTCTCTCACTCCCTCTCACCCACTCTCATACGCTCTCATTCCCTCTCACCCACTCTCATACGCTCTCATTCCTTCTCACCCACTCTCATACGCTCGCATTCCCTCTCACCCACTCTCATACGCTCTCATTTCCTCTCACCCTCTCTCTCACGCTCTCATTCCCTCTCACCCACTCTCATACGCTCTCCGTCCCTCTCACCCACTCTCATACCCTCTCATTCCCTCTCACCCACACTCATACGCTCTCATTCCCTCTCACCCACTCTCATACGCTCTCATTCCCTCCCACCCACTCTCATACGCTCTCATTCCCTCTCACCCACTCTCATACGCTCTCATTTCCTCTCACCCACTCTCTCACGCTCTCATTCCCAATCACCCACTCTCATACGCTCTCCGTCCCTCTCACCCACTCTCATACGCTCTCATTCCCTCTCACCCACACTCATACGCTCTCATTCCCTCTCACCCACACTCATACGCTCTCATTCCCTCTCACCCACTCTCTCACGCTCTTATTCCCTCTCACCCACTCTCTCACGCTCCCATTCCCTCTCACCCACTGTCATACCCTCTCATTCCCTCTCACCCACTCTCTTACGCTCTCATTCCCTCTCACCCACTCTCATACACTCTCATTCCCTCTAACCCACTCTCATACGCTCTCATTCCCTCTCAACCACTCTCATACGCTCTCATTCCCTCTCGCCCACTCTCATACGCTCTCATTCCCTCTCTCCCACTCTCATACGCTCTCATTCCCTCTCACCCACTCTCATACGCTCTCATTCCCTCTCTCCCACTCTCATACGCTCTCATTCCCTCCCACCCACACTCATACGCTCTCATTCCCTCTCACCCACTCTCATACCCTCTCATTCCCTCTCACCCACTCTCTTACGCTCTCATTCCCTCTCACCCACTCTCATATGCTCTCATTCCCTCCCACCCACACTCATACGCTCTCATTCCCTCCCACCCACTCTCATACCCTCTCATTCCCTCTCACCCACTCTTTTACGCTCTCATTCCCTCTCACCCACTCTCATACACTCTCATTCCCTCTAACCCACTCTCATACGCTCTCATTCCCTCTCACCCACTCTCATACGCTCTCATTCCCTCTCGCCCACTCTCATACGCTCTCATTCCCTCTCACCCACTCTCATACGCTCTCATTCCCTCTCACCCACTCTCATACGCTCTCATTCCCTCTCACCCACTCTCATACGCTCTCATTCCCTCCCACCCACACTCATACGCTCTCATTCCCTCTCACCCACTCTCATACCCTCTCATTCCCTCTCACCCACTCTCTTACGCTCTCATTCCCTCTCACCCAGTCTCATATGCTCTCATTCCCTCTAACCCACTCTCATACGCTCTCATTCCCTCTCACCCACTCTCATACGCTCTCATTCCCTCTCGCCCACTCTCATACGCTCTCATTCCCTCTCACCCACTCTCATACGCTCTCATTCCCTCTCACCCACTCTCATACGCTCTCATTCCCTCTCACCCACTCTCTCACGCTCTCATTCCCTCTCACCCACTCTCATACGCTCTCCGTCCCTCTCACCCACTCTCATACCCTCTCATTCCCTCTCACCCACACTCATACGCTCTCATTCCCTCTCACCCACTCTCATACGCTCTCATTCCCTCTCACCCACTCTCATACGCTCTCATTCCCTCCCACCCACTCTCATACGCTCTCATTCCCTCTCACCCACTCTCATACGCTCTCATTTCCTCTCACCCACTCTCTCACGCTCTCATTCCCTATCACCCACTCTCATACGCTATCCGTCCCTCTCACCCACTCTCATACCCTCTCATTCCCTCTCACCCACACTCATACGCTCTCATTCCCTCTCACCCACACTCATACGCTCTCATTCCCTCTCACCCACTCTCATACGCTCTCATTCCCTCTCACCCACTCTCATACGCTCTCATTCCCTCTCACCCACTCTCTCACGCTCTCATTCCCTCTCACCCACTCTCTCACGCTCTCATTCCCTCTCACCCACTCTCATACGCTCTCCGTCCCTCTCACCCACTCTCATACCCTCTCATTCCCTCTCACCCACACTCATACGCTCTCATTCCCTCTCACCCACTCTCATACCCTCTCATTCCCTCTCACCCACTCTCATACGCTCTCATTCCCTCTCACCCACTCTGAAACGCTCTCATTCCCTCTCACCCACTCTCTCACGCTCTCATTCCTTCTCACCCACTCTCATACGCTCTCATTCCCTCTCACCCACTCTCATACGCTCTCATTCCCTCTCACCCACTCTCATACGCTCTCATTCCCTCCCACCCACACTCAGACGCTCTCATTCCCTCTCACCCACTCTCTCACGCTCTCATTCCCTCTCACCCACTCTCATACGCTCTCATTCCCTCTCACCCACTCTCATACTCTCTCATTCCCTCTCACCCACACTCATACGCTCTCATTCCCTCTCACCCACTCTCATACGCTCTCATTTCCTCTCACCCACTCTCTCACGCTCTCATTCCCTCTCACCCACTCTCATACGCTCTCCGTCCCTCTCACCCACTCTCATACCCTCTCATTCCCTCTCACCCACACTCATACGCTCTCGTTCCCTCTCACCCACACTCATACGCTCTCATTCCCTCTCACCCACTCTCAAACGCTCTCATTCCCTCTCACCCACTCTCATACGCTCTCATTCCCTCTCACCCACTCTCATACGCTCTCATTCCTTCTCACCCACTCTCATACGCTCTCATTCCCTCTCACCCACTCTCATACGCTCTCATTACCTCTCACCCACTCTCATACGCTCTCATTCCCTCCCACCCACACTCATACGCTCTCATTCCCTCTCACCCACTCTCATACCCTCTCATTCCCTCTCACCCACTCTCATACGCTCTCATTCCCTCTCACCCACTCTGAAACGCTCTCATTCCCTCTCACCCACTCTCTCACGCTCTCATTCCTTCTCACCCACTCTCATACGCTCTCATTCCCTCTCACCCACTCTCATACTCTCTCATTCCCTCTCACCCACTCTCATACGCTCTCATTCCCTCTCACCCACTCTCATACGCTCTCATTTCCTCTCACCCACTCTCTCACGCTCTCATTCCCTCTCACCCACTCTCATACGCTATCCGTCCCTCTCACCCACTCTCATACCCTCTCATTCCCTCTCACCCACACTCATACGCTCTCGTTCCCTCTCACCCACACTCATACGCTCTCATTCCCTCTCACCCACTCTCTCATGCTCTCATTCCCTCTCACCCACTCTCTCACGCTCTCATTCCCTCTCACCCACTGTCATACACTCTCATTCCCTCTCACCCACTCTCTTACGCTCTCATTCCCTCTCATCCACTCTCATACGCTCTCATTCCGTCCCACCCACACTCATACACTCTCATTCCCTCTCACCCACTCTCATACCCTCTCATTCCCTCTCACCCACTCTCTTACGCTCTTATTCCCTCTCACTCAGTCTCATGCACTCTCATTCCCTCTGACCCACTCTCATACGCTCTCATTCCCTCTCACCCACACTCATACGCTCTCATTCCCTCTCGCCCACTCTCATACGCTCTCATTCCCTCTCACCCACTCTCATACGCTCTCATTCCCTCTCACCCACTCTCATACGCTCTCATTCCCTCTCACCCACTCTCATAGGCTCTTAATCCCTGTCACCCACTCTCATATGCTCTCATTCCCTCTAACCCACTCTCATACGCTCTCATTCCCTCTCACCCACTCTCAAACGCTCTCATTCCCTCTCACCCACTCTCATACGCTCTCATTCCCTCTCACCCACTCTCATACGCTTTCATTCCCTCTCACCCACTCTCATACCCTCTCATTCCCTCTCACCCACTCTCATACGCTCTCATTCCCTCTCACCCACTCTCATACGCTCTCAATCCATCTCACCCACTCTCTCACGCTCTCATTCCTTCTCACCCACTCTCATACGCTCTCATGCCCTCTCACCCACTCTCATACGCTCTCATTCCCTCTCACCCACTCTCATACGCTCTCATTCCCTCTCAACCACTCTCATACGCTCTCATTCCCTCTCACCCACTCTCATACTCTCTCATTCCCTCTCACCCACTCTCATACGCTCTCATTCCCTCTCACCCACCCTCATACGCTCTCATTCCCTCTCGCCCACTCTCATACGCTCTCATTCCCTCTCACCCACTCTCATACGCTCTCATTCCCTCTCACCCACTCTCATACGCTCTCATTCCCTCTCACCCACTCTCATAGGCTCTTAATCCCTGTCACCCATCCTCATATGCTCTCATTCCCTCTAACCCACTCTCATACGCTCTCATTCCCTCTCACCCACTCTCAAACGCTCTCATTCCCTCTCACCCACTCTCATACGCTCTCATTCCCTCTCACCCACTCTCATACGCTCTCATTCCCTCTCACCCACTCTCATACGCTCTCATTCCCTCTCACCCACTCTCATACGCTCTCATTCCCTCTCACCCACTCTCATACCCTCTCATTCCCTCTCACCCACTCTCATACGCTCTCATTCCCTCTCACCCACTCTCATACGCTCTCATTCCATCTCACCCACTCTCTCACGCTCTCATTCCCTCTCACCCACTCTCATACGCTCTCATGCCCTCTCACCCACTCTCATACGCTCTCATTCCCTCTCACCCACTCTCATACGCTCTCATTCCCTCTCACCCACTCTCATACGCTCTCATTCCATCTCACCCACTCTCTCACGCTCTCATTCCTTCTCACCCACTCTCATACGCTCTCATGCCCTCTCACCCACTCTCATACGCTCTCATTCCCTCTCACCCACTCTCTCACGCTCTCATTCCCTCTCACCCACTCTCATACGCTCTCATTCCCTCTAACCCACTCTCATACGCTCTCATTCCCTCTCACCCACTCTCATACGCTCTCATTCCCTCTCAACCACTCTCATACGCTCTCATTCCCTCTCACCCACTCTCATACTCTCTCATTCCCTCTCACCCACACTCATACGCTCTCATTCCCTCTCACCCACTCGCATACTCTCTCATTCCCTCTCACCCACTCTCATACGCTCTCATTCCTTCTCACCCACTCTCATACGCTCGCATTCCCTCTCACCCACTCTCATACGCTCTCATTTCCTCTCACCCTCTCTCTCACGCTCTCATTCCCTCTCACCCACTCTCATACGCTCTCCGTCCCTCTCACCCACTCTCATACCCTCTCATTCCCTCTCACCCACACTCATACGCTCTCATTCCCTCTCACCCACTCTCATACGCTCTCATTCCCTCCCACCCACTCTCATACGCTCTCATTCCCTCTCACCCACTCTCATACGCTCTCATTTCCTCTCACCCACTCTCTCACGCTCTCATTCCCAATCACCCACTCTCATACGCTCTCCGTCCCTCTCACCCACTCTCATACCCTCTCATTCCCTCTCACCCACACTCATACGCTCTCATTCCCTCTCACCCACTCTCTCACGCTCTTATTCCCTCTCACCCACTCTCTCACGCTCCCATTCCCTCTCACCCACTGTCATACCCTCTCATTCCCTCTCACCCACTCTCTTACGCTCTCATTCCCTCTCACCCACTCTCATACACTCTCATTCCCTCTAACCCACTCACATACGCTCTCATTCCCTCTCAACCACTCTCATACGCTCTCATTCCCTCTCGCCCACTCTCATACGCTCTCATTCCCTCTCTCCCACTCTCATACGCTCTCATTCCCTCTCACCCACTCTCATACGCTCTCATTCCCTCTCTCCCACTCTCATACGCTCTCATTCCCTCCCACCCACACTCATACGCTCTCATTCCCTCTCACCCACTCTCATACCCTCTCATTCCCTCTCACCCACTCTCTTACGCTCTCATTCCCTCTCACCCACTCTCATATGCTCTCATTCCCTCCCACCCACACTCATACGCTCTCATTCCCTCCCACCCACTCTCATACCCTCTCATTCCCTCTCACCCACTCTTTTACGCTCTCATTCCCTCTCACCCACTCTCATACACTCTCATTCCCTCTAACCCACTCTCATACGCTCTCATTCCCTCTCACCCACTCTCATACGCTCTCATTCCCTCTCGCCCACTCTCATACGCTCTCATTCCCTCTCACCCACTCTCATACGCTCTCATTCCCTCTCACCCACTCTCATACGCTCTCATTCCCTCTCACCCACTCTCATACGCTCTCATTCCCTCCCACCCACACTCATACGCTCTCATTCCCTCTCACCCACTCTCATACCCTCTCATTCCCTCTCACCCACTCTCTTACGCTCTCATTCCCTCTCACCCAGTCTCATATGCTCTCATTCCCTCTAACCCACTCTCATACGCTCTCATTCCCTCTCACCCACTCTCATACGCTCTCATTCCCTCTCGCCCACTCTCATACGCTCTCATTCCCTCTCACCCACTCTCATACGCTCTCATTCCCTCTCACCCACTCTCTCACGCTCTCATTCCCTCTCACCCACTCTCATACGCTCTCCGTCCCTCTCACCCACTCTCATACCCTCTCATTCCCTCTCACCCACACTCATACGCTCTCATTCCCTCTCACCCACTCTCATACGCTCTCATTCCCTCTCACCCACTCTCATACGCTCTCATTCCCTCCCACCCACTCTCATACGCTCTCATTCCCTCTCACCCACTCTCATACGCTCTCATTTCCTCTCACCCACTCTCTCACGCTCTCATTCCCTATCACCCACTCTCATACGCTATCCGTCCCTCTCACCCACTCTCATACCCTCTCATTCCCTCTCACCCACACTCATACGCTCTCATTCCCTCTCACCCACACTCATACGCTCTCATTCCCTCTCACCCACTCTCATACGCTCTCATTCCCTCTCACCCACTCTCATACGCTCTCATTCCCTCTCACCCACTCTCTCACGCTCTCATTCCCTCTCACCCACTCTCTCACGCTCTCATTCCCTCTCACCCACTCTCATACGCTCTCCGTCCCTCTCACCCACTCTCATACCCTCTCATTCCCTCTCACCCACACTCATACGCTCTCATTCCCTCTCACCCACTCTCATACGCTCTCATTCCCTCTCACCCACTCTCATACGCTCTCATTCCCTCCCACCCACTCTCATACGCTCTCATTTCCTCTCACCCACACTCATACGCTCTCATTCCCTCTCACCCACACTCATACGCTCTCATTCCCTCTCACCCACTCTCTCACGCTCTTATTCCCTCTCACCCACTCTCTTACGCTCCCATTCCCTCTCACCCACTGTCATACCCTCTCATTCCCTCTCACCCACTCTCTTACGCTCTCATTCCCTCTCACCCACTCTCATACACTCTCATTCCCTCTAACCCACTCTCATACGCTCTCATTCCCTCTCAACCACTCTCATACGCTCTCATTCCCTCTCGCCCACTCTCATACGCTCTCATTCCCTCTCACCCACTCTCATACGCTCTCATTCCCTCTCACCCACTCTCATACGATCTCATTCCCTCTCTCCCACTCTCATACGCTCTCATTCCCTCTCACCCACACTCATACTCTCTCATTCCCTCTCACCCACTCTCATACCCTCTCATTCCCTCTCACCCACTCTCTTACGCTCTCATTCCCTCTCACCCACTCTCATATGCTCTCATTCCCTCTAACCCACTCTCATACGCTCTCATTCCCTCTCACCCACTCTCATACGCTCTCATTCCCTCTCGCCCACTCTCATACGCTCTCATTCCCTCTCACCCACTCTCATACGCTCTCATTCCCTCTCACCCACTCTCATACGCTCTCATTCCCTCTCACCCACTCTCATCCGCTCTCATTTCCTCTCACCCATTCTCTCACGCTCTCATTCCCTCTCACCCAATCTCATACGCTCTCTGTCCCTCTCACCCACTCTCATACCCTCTCATTCCCTCTCACCCACACTCATACGCTCTCATTCCCTCTCACCTACTCTCATACGCTCTCATTCCCTCTCACCCACTCTCATACGCTCTCATTCCCTCCCACCCAATCTCATACGCTCTCATTCCCTCTCTCCCACTCTCATACGCTCTCATTCCCTCCCACCCACACTCATACGCTCTCATTCCCTCTCACCCACTCTCATACCCTCTCATTCCCTCTCACCCACTCTCTTACGCTCTCATTCCCTCCCACCCACACTCATACGCTCTCATTCCCTCTCACCCACTCTCATACCCTCTCATTCCCTCTCACCCACTCTCATACGCTCTCATTCCCTCCCACCCAATCTCATACGCTCTCATTCCCTCTCTCCCACTCTCATACGCTCTCATTCCCTCCCACCCACACTCATACGCTCTCATTCCCTCTCACCCACTCTCATACCCTCTCATTCCCTCTCACCCACTCTCTTACGCTCTCATTCCCTCTCACCCACTCTCATCCGCTCTCATTTCCTCTCACCCACTCTCTCACGCTCTCATTCCCTCTCACCCACTCTCATACGCTCTCTGTCCCTCTCACCCACTCTCATACCCTCTCATTCCCTCTCACCCACACTCATACGCTCTCATTCCCTCTCACCTACTCTCATACGCTCTCATTCCCTTTCACCCACTCTCATACGCTCTCATTCCCTCCCACCCAATCTCATATGCTCTCATTCCCTCTAACCCACTCTCATACGCTCTCATTCCCTCTCACCCACTCTCATACGCTCTCATTCCCTCTCGCCCACTCTCATACGCTCTCATTCCCTCTCACCCACTCTCATACGCTCTCATTCCCTTTCACCCACTCTCATACGCTCTCATTCCCTCTCACCCACTCTCATCCGCTCTCATTTCCTCTCACCCACTCTCTCACGCTCTCATTCCCTCTCACCCACTCTCATACGCTCTCTGTCCCTCTCAACCACTCTCATACCCTCTCATTCCCTCTCACCCACTCTCATACGCTCTCATTCCCTCTCACCTACTCTCATACGCTCTCATTCCCTCTCACCCACTCTCATACGCTCTCATTCCCTCCCACCCAATCTCATACGCTCTCATTCCCTCTCTCCCACTCTCATACGCTCTCATTCCCTCCCACCCACACTCATACGCTCTCATTCCCTCTCACCCACTCTCATACCCTCTCATTCCCTCTCACCCACTCTCTTACGCTCTCATTCCCTCCCACCCACACTCATACGCTCTCATTCCCTCTCACCCACTCTCATACCCTCTCATTCCCTCTCACCCACTCTCATACGCTCTCATTCCCTCCCACCCAATCTCATACGCTCTCATTCCCTCTCTCCCACTCTCATACGCTCTCATTCCCTCCCACCCACACTCATACGCTCTCATTCCCTCTCACCCACTCTCATACCCTCTCATTCCCTCTCACCCACTCTCTTACGCTCTCATTCCCTCTCACCCACTCTCATCCGCTCTCATTTCCTCTCACCCACTCTCTCACGCTCTCATTCCCTCTCACCCACTCTCATACGCTCTCTGTCCCTCTCACCCACTCTCATACCCTCTCATTCCCTCTCACCCACACTCATACGCTCTCATTCCCTCTCACCTACTCTCATACGCTCTCATTCCCTCTCACCCACTCTCATACGCTCTCATTCCCTCCCACCCAATCTCATATGCTCTCATTCCCTCTAACCCACTCTCATACGCTCTCATTCCCTCCCACCCACTCTCATACGCTCTCATTCCCTCTCGCCCACTCTCATACGCTCTCATTCCCTCTCACCCACTCTCATACGCTCTCATTCCCTCTCACCCACTCTCATACGCTCTCATTCCCTCTCACCCACTCTCATCCGCTCTCATTTCCTCTCACCCACTCTCTCACGCTCTCATTCCCTCTCACCCACTCTCATACGCTCTCTGTCCCTCTCACCCACTCTCATACGCTCTCATTCCCTCCCACCCACACTCATACGCTCTCATTCCCTCTCACCCACTCTCATACCCTCTCATTCCCTCTCACCCACTCTCTTACGCTCTCATTCCCTCTCACCCACTCTCATATGCTCTCATTCCCTCTAACCCACTCTCATACGCTCTCATTCCCTCTCACCCACTCTCATACGCTCTCATTCCCCCTCGCCCACTCTCATACGCTCTCATTCCCTCTCACCCTCTCTCATACGCTCTCATTCCCTCTCACCCACTCTCATACGCTCTCATTCCCTCTCACCCACTCTCATACGCTCTCATTTCCTCTCACCCACTCTCTCACGCTCTCATTCCCTCTCACCCACTCTCATACGCTCTCCGTCCCTCTCACCCACTCTCATACACTCTCATTTCCTCTCACCCACACTCATACGCTCTCATTCCCTCTCACCTACTCTCATACGCTCTCATTCCCTCTCACCCACTCTCATACGCTCTCATTCCCTCCCACCCAATCTCATACGCTCTCATTCCCTCTCACCCACTCTCATACGCTCTCATTCCCTCACACCCACTCTCATACACTCTCATTCCCTCTCACCCACACTCATACGCTCTTATTCCCTCTCACCCACTCTCATACGCTCTCATTCCCTCCCACCCACACTCAGACGCTCTCATTCCCTCTCAACCACTCTCATACCCTCTCATTCCCTCTCACCCACTCTCATACCCTCTCATTCCCTCTCACCCACACTCATACGCTCTCATTCCCTCTCACCCACACTCATACGCTCTCATTCCCTCTCACCCACTCTCATACCCTCTCATTCCCTCTCACCCACTCTTTTTGTTGTGTGATGCAACCATATGCATTCACGTCTGTCTGCCTCCCATCATGTGTTTGTGCGTTGCATGCGTAGTGTGAGCGTGTGCAAGAAATTTGTGTCTTGTGTGGTTTGGATTTTCTCTCTCTGTGTGTGTGTATGTTATTTGGCTTGAGCAGTTATTTGAAGTGATTCCTCTACTCAAGAGCTTTCTGACAAACCAAGAATCATCGCGATCGGAGCACAACCAAGAAAGTTACGAACATTGGAATTCGTATGCTTATATATTTTGGTTGCAGCTACTTTGGGAAGTTTTGGCATTGACTCAATATGGGGTACAGACTTGTGGGGGTTGGAAAATTCGAACCCATCACTGTAGATGCTGCCAAGAGGTTGGGTGAAGCCAAACCAGGTTGGTAAGTGTGGCCAAGTTGTGGTGACGTGGATGGCATGGGTTGGAAAGTGACAAAGGTCAAAGTTTGTTGCCTATGGGGAAGGGAATTGTGTGGCATGGGGTTTCCTTGGTTGAGGACTCTCTCTTGGGACCTTCCCTCTCGTCCTCCTCTTCCCCTCCTACCAGGTTTAGTGCTACTCTAATATTCTTTTGTGGGACTTGTGAGTTAATTGTGATCGAGTTAAATTTCTGTGGCAGCATACCCCCTAGTGCGCCGAAACACATAACTCAAGATATTCTCCATATTTTGATACGTTTCAAATTGGGAAATGTAGCCACGTTCTAGTGCTACAACATATTCACATTTCGTGGGATTCTAACAGTGCACGTTTTGTCGACAACGTTTCTTGTGAAGTCAACGTTTCTGTCTAGAAATTGAGACTAACGATTTTGAGAAATTTGGGCACCTAATCTTCATAGACTCCGTCCTTAGTCTCTAACACTTTTACGCTCTCATTCTCTCTCACCCACTCTCATACGCTCTCATTCCGTCTAGCCCACTCTCATACGCTCTCATTCCCTCTCACCCACTCTCATACACTCTCATTCCCTGTCACCCACTCTCATACGCTCTCATTCCCTCTCACCCACTCTCATACGCTCTCATTCCCTCTCACCCACTCTCATACGCTCTCATTCCCTCTCACCCACTCTCATACGCTCTCATTCCCTCTCACCCACTCATACGCTCTTGTTCCCTCTCACCCACTCTCATACGCTCTCATTCCCTCCCACCCACACTCAGACGCTCTCATTCCCTCTCAACCACTCTCATACCCTCTCATTCCCTCTCACCCACTCTCATACGCTCTCATTCCCTCTAACCCACTCTCATACGCTCTCATTCCCTCTCACCCACGCTCAGACGCTCTCATTCCCTCTCGCCCACTCTCATACGCTCTCATTCCCTCTCACCCACTCTCATACGCTCTCATTCCCTCTCACCCACTCTCATACGCTCTCATTCCCTCTCACCCACTCTCATACGCTCTCATTCCCTCTCACCCACCCTCATACGCTCTCATTCCCTCTCACCCACTCTCATACGCTCTCATTCCCTCTCACACACTCTCATACGCTCTCATTCCCTCTCACCCACACTCATACGCTCTCATTCCCTCTCACCCACTCTCATACCCTCTCATTCCCTCTCACCCACTCTCTTACGCTCTCATTCCCTCTCACCCACTCTCATACGCTCTCATGCCCTCCCACCCACACTCATACGCTCTCATTCCCTCTCACCCACTCTCATACCCTCTCATTCCCTCTCACCCACTCTCTTACGCTCTCATTCCCTCTCACCCACTCTCATACACTCTCATTCCCTCTAACCCACCCTCATACGCTCTCATTCCCTCTCACCCACTCTCATACGCTCTCATTCCCTCTCGCCCACTCTCATACGCTCTCATTCCCTCTCACCCACTCTCATACGCTCTCATTCCCTCTCACCCACTCTCATACGCTCTCATTCCCTCTCACCCACTCTCATACGCTCTCATTCCCTCTCACCCACTCTCTCAGGCTCTCATTCCCTCTCACCCACTCTCATACGCTCTCATTCCCTCTAACCCACTCTCATACGCTCTCATTCTCTCTCACCCACTCTCATACGCTCTCATTCCCTCTCACCCACTCTCATACGCTCTCATTCCCTCTCACCCACTCTCATACGCTCTCATTCCCTCTCACCCACTCTCATACACTCTAATTCCCTCTAACCCACTCTCATACACTCTCATTCCCTCTCACGCACTCTCATACGCTCTCATTCCCTCTCGCCCACTCTCATACGCTCTCATTCCCTCTCACCCACTCTCATACGCTCTCATTCCCTCTCACCCACTCTCATACGCTCTCATTCCCTCTCGCCCACTCTCATACGCTCTCATTCCCTCTCACCCACTCTCTCAGGCTCTCATTCCCTCTCACCCACTCTCATACGCTCTCACTCCCTCTAACCCACTCTCATACGCTCTCATTCTCTCTCACCCACTCTCATACGCTCTCATTCCCTCTCACCCACTCTCATACGCTCTCATTCCCTCTCACCCACTCTCATACTCTCTCATTCCCTCTCACCCACTCTCATACGCTCTCATTCCCTCTCACCCACTCTCATACGATCTTATTCCCTCTCACCCACACTCATACGCTCTCATTCCCTCTCACCCACTCTCATACCCTCCCATTCCCTCTCACCCTCTCTCTTACCCTCTTATTCCCTCTCACCCACTCTCATACGCTCTCATTCCCTCCCACCCACACTCACACGCTCTCATTCCCTCTCACCCACTCTCATACCCTCTCATTCCCTCTAACCCACTCTCATACGCTCTCATTCCCTCTCACCCACTCTCATACGCTCTCATTCCCTCCCACCCACACTCATACGCTCTCATTCTCTCTCACCCACTCTCATTCGCTCTCATTCCATCCCACCCACTCTCTTACGCTCTCATTCCCTCTCACCCACTCTCATACACTCTCATTCCCTCTAACCCACTCTCATACGCTCTCATTCCCTCTCACCCACTCTCATACGCTCTCATTCCCTCCCACCCACACTCATACGCTCTCATTCCCTCTCACCTGCGGAGATTCACTCTACAACGGTAGTGAGCTAAACTACAGGGTTGGCACGAACTACTAGAGGTGATCGTATCTTTGCTTGGTTCCTTAGTGCTTGCACATTCACGGGAGAAATTGGCAAGAGTTTCCACTTGCAAAGTTGAGAATCCCAGAATAATGCAAGAAGCAAAGACAACTATGACTACATCAGGCACCTAGCAACCCTGCAGCTAGCCTGGTCGACCGCCAGCGCAGCTCGGTCGACCGCCTGCCAGCATTGCGTAGAGGAGCCGCGCCAGCACTGCAGAAGGGCGACCTGCCAACAAAGCAGGTCGACGGCGTGCCCCGTAGAACACAGCAGTGCGCGCGCTCGCAGGTGTGCGCAGACGATTGGCCTGTCTTGCCTCGTTGGGCATCCGTCGGCTGTTGTCTGCGCCTGACGAGCAACATCGACTTCAAGATACCAGCCCAAAGTCGCCTGCTCCATCGCGATCTCGACGACGTTCGCGAGCCTCCGCAGAACTCGTCGAGCAGGTTACCCGGTCGACTTGGTCGACTCCTGGTACTCTGGTCGACCCCCACGTGCCTCCGGTCGACCACTGGGTCCCTCTGGTCGACCACCAGGCGCTCCTGGTCGACCACAACTCCCGTCGAGCTACCCCCTGGTCGGCAGACCCCTTCCGTCGACCAGAACTGCTCTGTCTACTTCCCTGTCGAAGTGCAGGTCGACGGACTGCTTCATCGACCTCCCTGACGGCCCACCCGTCGCACAGACCAGTCAGTTGCAGCTGTCGAGCTCCTTGGTCGACAGCAACACCACAGCGGTCCGCTGCAGCTCGACGTACCCTGTCGAGCAGCTATCCCACTGTGAACAGTCGGCTTCTACTCCCGTGCATCCGACCAAGTCGTCGTCGTTGCCCAAGCGAGGGCGGGGCCAACACTCCATTCCTGTTAACACTCCCCTGTCGCGCTCACGCTTGGGCCTCCAGCCCACACGGCAGTACTCCACGGAGAAAACTCGTCCTCGGCGTGCACCCCACACACAGCACACCGTCACTGCACCAGCCGTGCAGAAGGGCACGGCACCTGCTGCTGCACCTCGTCGTCGCCGTCGCCGATGTCGACCAGGCGAACTTGGCCGATGGCGATAGAGCACCGGTTGAAAGCCGGAAAATGCAGCGCCTTTGTCAGGAAGTCCACCGGCTGCTTGGTGGTAGGGATGTAGTTCAGCACAAATTTCCCGCGCCTCACCATGTGCTGCAGCCAGGCGTAGCGTCGCTCCATGTGCTTGAGGTAGCCCGTCAGCCCCAAGCCCTCAGGGACCGTGATTGCCGACTTGTTGTCGACGCGGAGGATGGTCGGCTTCCCAGCGTCGAGCAGCTTGAATTCCGCAAGGAGGAAGCAAAGTGGACGCCCCTCTTTGCCGGCGTCTGTTGCCGCCACGTACTCCGACTCGGTCGATGAGAATGTCGCGCACTTGATGCGCGAGCTCGACAAGGAGACTGCAGCCCCTCCGTAGACGAACACGTAGCCTCCCGTGCTCGTCCGGTTCTACTTGTCGCCCGCGTCGTCGGCATCGACGTAGCGGATCAGCTCCAACGATTCTGGTCCACCGCCAAACTCCAGGGCAGTGTCGCGGGTGTCGGCGAGGTAGGCGAGACAACGGTCGACCTCGCGCCAATGCTGGTCGCTCCTCACCGTGAGGCCGCTCCCCAGCTTGCTGCAGGCGAACGCGATGTCCGGCCTGGTCGTCGTCGCCGCAAATTGCAGCGAGCCTACCTTCTGCCGGTACTCCTCCTCCTCGCGCTCTTGAGCCTCTTCGTCGTCGAACGTCAGCTGAGCGTAGGCGTCAACCAAGACTGGCATCTTCGGGACTCGACCGCCCTGCTCCTCGTCGATGAAGCGCCTGCGCAGCTTGTTGGCGTAGCCCTGCTGGTGCAGCCACAGCTTCCTGGCCGGCCTGTCGCGCAAGATCTCCAGCCCAAGGTACTTCACCACTGGGGAGATCTCACGGAGCTCAAAGTCGGCCTCCAGCAGCTCTTTCAGCTCCTTCAGCATCGCGGTGCTGCTGCTAGCGGCAAGCAGGTTGTCGACGTAGACCAGCACCCAGCAGGTCACTCCGTCGCCTCCGACCTTGAAGTAGAGTGCCTCGTCGACCTGGCTCTTCTTCCAGCCAGCGCCCAGCAGCACACCGTCGAGAGCCCTGTACCACAGCAGCGGCGACTGCTTCAGCCCGTAGAGGCTCTTCAGCAGCTTACACACCCGGCCGGTCCCGTCGTTGAAATAGTCCGGCTGGTACATGTAGAGCACCCTGTCAAGCTTGCTCTGCAGGAAAGCGTTCTTCATGTCGAGCTGCATCAGGTTGAGATCGAGGACGGCGACTATGCTGAGGAAGATCCTCAGCGTGACGTAGCTGCTCACCGGGGAGTACGTCTCGTCGTAGTCAGCGCCGTACACCTGCGTGAAGCCCTTCACGACTAGCCTCGCCTTCTCGCGCTCGACGGTGTCGTTGATGCGGTACTTGGTCGTCAGCACCCATCGGTTTTTCATAATGTTCACCCCGCGTGGGCGTTTGACCAGCTCCCAAGTCCCCATAGCGATGAGGCTACGGATTTCTTCTTCCATGGCGGCCTTCACTGCCTCGCCCTTCCAGCTCGACAACGCCTCCTTCACCGTCATCGTGGCGATGTCCCAGCGGTGTTCGGGGTCAGCATGCACGTCAGGGTCGAGCTCCAGCAGATCTTCATCCTCCTCGGCATCGTCGTACAGCAGGTCGTCGTCGACCTCGTCGTACACCGTGGTGAAGGCAGCTGGCGGTAGGCAGGCATGTAAGCACAACCGCTCCGGCGGCCGTCGAGCTCGACCTGTACGTCGCAGCTCGGGCTTCGTGATCGGCACTTCCATTACATCACTATCGGTAGACTCACCCGCCGACAGCTCCCCTTTCTCGTCAACGAGAATGTCGTCGACCCGCTGCTTCGACCCTTCAACCGGCTGTTCCTCTGCTGCTGCCTTCGACAACTCTCCTGTCGACCGCTCCGGCTGCCGCTCCCCTGTCGAGTATCCCCCTGCCGATGCCTCCTGTTCGACCGGCTCCCCTGTCTGGTACTCCCCTGTCGTCGACGGCTTCCCATCGTAGTCGACGAGCTTGGCGCCTTGTCGTCCACCGGCGATGCCACTGGCCGGCGCCACAGGCGATGCCTCAAGGCTCCCCTCATCGTTGGTGGCCGACACAGGTGTCGACGCAGGAAGATCGGCGACGGGAGAGGGAGGAGCAAGGACAGGGGAAAGTGGAGGAACCTCCACAACATCTTCATCAGCAGGCTCGTCGACTTCGGCGAGCAGGGGAACCGTCGCCGTCGAGGTGTCCGTAGGCGAGTGTACCTGCGTCCGCCCCGATGCCGGCCCATACTTCGCCTTCCACACCTCCAGCGACAGCGTCTCGTAGAAGATCACCTCGACCGACGTGACCACCTTGCTGTCTGTCAGGTCGAGCATCTCCCAGCCCTTACTCTCCGACGACACACCCAGGTGAAGTCCCCAGCGAGCCTTCGGAGCCAGCTTCCCACCGCGCTGCTGCTCGGGAACCATAAACTGCACCATGCAGCCCCACACCCGCGCCAGCGTAAGGTCGGGCTTCTGCCCGGTCAACAGTTGGTACGCAGTCGTTCCCGGTGGCGTCGTCAATCGCTCCAAGCAGTTGCGCACCCAGACCGCTTGTCGTAGAGCAAGGTGCCACCAGTGGTGCTGCACGCCCATGTGCAGCAGCATCGTCCGCACGGACTCGACGACCGTGCGCATCTCCCGCTTAGCCATGCCATTCTGCTGCGGAGTGTAGGGGCACGTCAGGTCGTGGACGATGCCCTTCCCGTCGACGAAGTTGGTGAACGCCTTCCCGAGGAACTCCCCTCCTCGATCGGAGCGAAGTGACAGCACCGACTTCTTCGTCTGCCGTTCCACTAGCGCCAGCCACCGCTGAAACTCCCGCAGCACGTCGCTCTTCCTAGCGACCGGCATTGCCCATACAAATCGAGTATGGCGATCCTTCAGCAGCAGGAAGTACAAGCTGCCATCCTTGGCTGCTACTCGAAATGGCCCGCACAAGTCAATGTGCACGACAGCCAGCGCCTCCGCTGCGTCCGAGCCCTTGGCAGGGAAGGTGTGCCGCGCCAGCTTTCCTCCAACGCACGAGACACACGGCGGGTCTCCTCCGGTCGACAACGTGATGTCGAGCCCAGTAGCAACATCATGCTTCGCCGAGCTCTTGATCGTGTCGACGCTGACGTGTGCGAGCCGCGCATGCATCCTGTCGGGGGTCGTCTTCGTCGCGGAGATGATCGTCCGCAGAGCCACCACCTCGGTCGACGGCGACTGCGTCGAGCAGGGGCAAAGGTCGGTGCAGAGTATCCGTCCGGTGTAGCGTGCTCGACCGAGCACCGCCCCAGTCGCGGCGACGAGCATCATCTCATCGCCATCGCCCTGCAGCAGCACTCCACTCTCCTTCACCTGGCCAGCAGATAACAGGTTTGCCTGTACGCCCGGAACGTAGAGTACGTCGGGGATGAGGACCCGCTTCCCGGCCTCCCCTTGCAGAGCAACGGTTCCGCGACCCTCGACAGGCTGCAATGCCCCGTTGAACCGATGCACGTGCTTCACCCCGTCGCTCGGCCCCATTTCGACGAAGACCGACTTCTTCCCCATCCGGTGGTGGGAGCACGCGCTGTCGAGCAGCACCGCCATCGGGTTGGCCTGCACAGCTGCCGCCACTGCTTGGAAGTCCTCACCAGCGAGACCGTCGGCTCCACCACGCCTCCCCGTCGCCGCGGCTCTTGCCGCTGGAGCTGTCGACGTCTTTCGTCGACGACGTCTTCTTCGACGCTTGCTTCTCCTTGCGGGGCTTCTCTACTCGACGCGGGCGACGACTGGCCGATCGTCCGCGGCCTCCCTTGTTGTCGTCCTCGTCACTGTCATCGCGGTCGGGGCACTCGAAGGAGAGATGGTCAGGGTCGCCGCAGATCCAGCACTCCCGCCGTCGACCACCACCTCGT